TACTCACTGATAACGTAAATATTTAATGGTGAAAGTATTTTTGAAATCGGTCCGGGAGTTATTGAGTTATTTCAATACATACAAAAATACAAATCTTTCTTTTGAATAATAATATTAGTATAGATAAATAATCAAAAAAATCAATCTTATTCTGTATTGTAAAGAAGAAATCGGTATCGTGCCGGAGTAGCAGCGCAACACTAGATCATGGGCATACACGTCCCCTCCCTATGACATCTGTCAATGTCAATCAGAAGACATAAGGATATGCGCGCTATTTTGGCGGGAATCGGGTTACTGTGTATCGAAGTAAATTTACATTGTTTTAAAGATTTTAAAGGGTAAATATAATAATATGTTATTATTACAAGTCTAATGTTCTCCATAAAATACAAGTAAAATTTAACATTAATGTTATGTTACAATACGGTATAATCTCAGTTCCAATTTTTGTGATATTATCTTCAATTTAAGATCGCAAATCGTTGTAGAAAGTTCGTATTTCACACGTATTCTCAGACGGCCCAGTTGGTGCCGATAATTGGGTCAGGCGAGCAACCTGTCAGCTCACACGTATTGTTTCGTGGAGTCGAGTACCGTTACTGTTCGGTCAAGTTCGGCCCATTGTCACTCGCGTCTTACGGATTTACGGGCGCTTCGGATAATCTTATAAACATTGGAATTACAGTACAATAAATTATTCCACCTGAGATATTGTTTCATATATCCTGTGATAAAATATTCACTCGTGGAATTGATATATTTAATTAATAAAAAAAAAAAATATTTTTTTTTTATTTTCAAACGATTTATTAATTCACTGTTAATTAAAAAACCTTAACCTAAGCACAATTTATAATTGACAGTAAAAGTTTAAATTTATGAATATATAGAGTAAATAAAAAATACTCAAACTATGACTTCACTTTATCAACTGTTATTAAAGCCATATTACCCAATTTGATATTTTTAAATTCGAATTTTCTTATGTTAAAATTTCTTTTTTTATATGATAACAAATATTAAAGTCGTTGACCTAATAGTGGTTAATTTATGAAGTATTTTGACATCTAATTTGCATTTCAACTATAATAAAATGCAAACAAGTCTACCATTAAAGTGAATTGTTGCTTTAAAATATGAAACTTTATTTTATCTTTGCTTTTATACAAAGTGTTTTCTCATTGGTACGATGGCTCAGTGGTTAGACATTTTAACAATAACCTATTGTGGTTCCATTTTACTTATGAAACTATCCAGATTTTTATTATAAGAATAATATAAATACTTTTCGTTGTTAATTTCTTGACCTATGCATGAGTAAGCATAAATAACCATGACTAGGTTCTTGTCCCGTTGTTCCTTGTTAACGAATAAGTCAGTCATGCTGATTAATTGAGGTAATAATTTGTCTAATAAGAAATGGGCATTGATCCGTGATCTGCATTTTATTCTTTAATCGAGTGTTAATAATAGAAAAAAAAACTACATAAGCTTTTAAAGAAATCTTTTATCTCCGTTTAAATTATGATTACAATCATCTCTTTCGTTCTTATTGAAACAAATGAAACAACAGTATTTAATAGGTCAAGCTATGTTTATATAATCTGTGTGAATAAGGTTATTCTCGTTTACAAACGTCCATTAGAAATGCAATCATTTGAATGCATCGCCGGAAATTTGCGTCAAACTCGTTTCGTCTTCCGGTGTTAAGTTTTAATGTGAAAGAAAACACTTAATGGCGTAAAGTGAAGGTTAAGGTACAGTTATATTTGTATAGTTCAAATCTTTGCATAATACTATGATGTTGAATGATTTTTTAGTAAACTTCTTATCTGACATCAAGGTAAAAAGAAAACTGGTATTAATTTTCCTGCAATAAATGTCAATGTCTCCTTCTAAGCTTCGATTTAAAAAAATAGATTTTCAACAATAATAGATTTATGAATACAATAAGGCGAAATATATTATCGTTGTTACACAAGTTACGAGGCAAGTTAAAGACATTATAAAGATGAAAACTTTGTTTGTTTGATTGTAATGAATAGGCTAAAAAACTAAAAAATCCCTTCACCGTTAAAGGTAATTCATTTGTGAGTAACATAGGCTATATTTTTTCATTTTTTTATTATTTTTAATTTTCAAGGGGATGGAGTCGCGGGCAAAAGGTAGTAAAAAATATATTCATTGTTGCTAGTAAAGTTGACTTGAGAATAACGTTTTTTTTACGTGTGAAAAGCTTTGTGTATTACCTTGAATTCCCTCAATTATCATGTATAATGAGTAATTACTCGTATTACAAAGTTATTACGTTGTAATACGATTGTTGGTGAATAAAAGATTTATGCATGAATAAAAAATCTATTATAATTGCAATTGTTTATAATTTGTTTCTAAAATGAATAATAAGAATGAGGTTATTTAAATTTCAGATTTTGATCTATTAAAACCACATGACTAATGCGTTTGGTTGGAAAATAGATTAAATTGTCGCAAGATAAAAGGTTCAAATTCTAAATAAACGGATAAAGATTATTAATAACAATTGATTTACTTTAATAAAAAACGATCGCAGACCCATTTTACATTGGAACAAAATGGACAGATTATAAAATTAAAAATATCTAGTTTTCTAGTCGAGAAATAAAAAACAAAGCGAGTTCTAGAAAACTTGTTTCTATGCAATTTGCTATCTACAAGAAAATCAAAGTTGCTCAGATAATGACGTGTTCGATCAGCCTTACATATGCCAATTATTGAATAGTTACCCGCAATCATTATGACGCCGGCGCCTCGTTAGGCGGCCCGCTTTGATCTCCTGCTGTGAGGTTATGATCTATAAACTGCACCTATTGGCTGTATAAAGTACACTCAAACACTTATTAGGGACATTCCATAATATTAGCTCAGTGAACTTTAACCACTAACCAATGCAATACAAATTTTGAAAAGTACGCCGTTGATGGCTATTTAGTAACGGTTAGTGGCGTAACTGCGGCTAATGCCTAAAAAGTTAGTAAGATAAAGAAGCTCAATGTAGGAAAGGGGAGAGTTATAAAGAGAAATATATTTTCTCTGCAATGCAAAAACGTGTGGAAAGAAGTGATATTTGGCCTCCAGGACAAAAACTCATAAAAGCATGGATAGGACTTTACAACACTTGAAAGATTCCTATAAAGTCGGTTACACCGTTAAATTGGGCAATTTACGAGGTCATGGTGTGGTAGCCATACGGTGGCTGCAGCGGTGCGCTCCGGTGCCTCTTATTTAACTGTTACCATCATTATGAGATATAAAAATACGTCACCTTACTCATAATTACACATAGTTGCGGCCTTCCCGCTTCGTTGCCAGCAAACTAAGTTTCCTTATGCGTAGTTGTCATCTAATTTCTACATACACTACGTTTTATATGACTAGGACATAGGTTTGACTACCTGGTTCTCATATAAAGGAATTAATATTAAGTAGTCTTCACAGACGTCAATTTCAAAGTTTTTTGTATTAAAAGTTAGACGAGAAGACTATCATTTAAGGAATTTCATTGAAAATTAATGTAAGGAGACATTTAAAACATCTTAACTGATATATTATAAGAATTTATGTAGGTCACAATAAGTATGGAAATTAGCACCAAAAAATTATCTTTTTAGGTCAGTTAAAATTGATCGCAAGGTTCCGCTGCGAAGGCATCTGGGCTGAGGTGGCCATTGTTTTGCGACTTAGACGAAATAACAGTTCCACTAATTTCTTTTGTTGTTAGATCAACAAAAATTACCGTTTATTCGTGTAAACTTTAAACGATTACTCGTACGTCTGCGCGTGCGAGTTTTATTATCATTTCATGGGTTATTTTTGTATGTTAGCATGTCATGTTCCGAACGATCGTTACCATAAACCGTAAAAGTGCGGTTCGTTAGAGAAAAAACATTGCCGCAATGACGCCTTCTTCCGCGAAATTTTAAGACTCATGCCTCATAATAGTTTATGCATTTATATACGACCGTTAAAACGGAGCCTTTATTTGGGTTACTCGTGCATACGTTATACGATTGTTCACACTTGTTTCTTTTGTTTTTCTAGTGCTTTTATGAATTCTATGGCCAAATATTGGAAGGACATTTAAATATGTAACAGTGTCTTACATGATAAGGCCATGCTACCTTTAATATCTTGCTTTCTGACAAGTGATAAGCAGCGCTTACAAAGTATAATGTTTGAGATTCAGAATTCGGCCGATAATATTTAGTATACCATACCAACAAATGTAATATTGGCCTTTAGCTTACATTTCGATTTAAAACCGGAATTTCGGTACTTTTCACTGAAAAGATGTCTTGAGAAAGTACCCCAATTTTAAATAGCGGTACGCGTAAAGTGCAATTAGTTTTATTTTTAAAATTACCACATGATAACGCAGCTTTCCGTTCGTTGATAGCTTGAATTAAGTTTATACGAAAAAAACTTTATTACATTTATGTTCTCGAGGACTGAATTGGTATATTTAATGGACGTGTTAAACCGAGCAAAACATTACAAAGCGATCGAAAGCTGTCGGCCGATTCATTAAACATGCTAAAGAATTTAGCCGTTCTCTGCGTAAAGAGTGGTACAACAATCGTTTTACTTTCACGTTTTAAAAAGTTCATTCATCAAGTTGATCAAAAGGCCAGTGAAAGCAATATCGCAATTCAGACACTAAATGAAAACGGCGTTCGTCTGTCCTGTTGACTTTCGTGGACCTCTGCTCTTGACCTGCATACCATTGACACGATTTGCGAATATTCAAGGTTAAACAGTGCATTTTTCTTTTAAAACATTAAAACAAAAACCAAATTGCTGTAGACGTTTTTTTTTTACTTTGACTACATTCTTTTGTTTTCTCGATTATTTTAATTTCTGTCTTTTATTGACCCGGTACTATTGAGTCTGAATATTAATTTACATGTTTTATTTTAGTCTTGTGTTAAATCGTAACTAATGATAATGTTTTGTTCCAGTTGAAGTATCGTCATTATGATTGGAAAGGCGCTGGGCGCAGCGCCATTAGCGCTTTTACTTCTGCAGGCGACGTCTGTACTCAGTAAGTAGTTTTACCACAGATAATATAATACTAATCTTACTTAGTACTAATACTGTAAATGTTTGCCTGACCTGGACGGATCTCGATGAAATTTGGCAGAGATGTTGAAGATAGTCTCGAGAAACACATAGGCTAATTAGGTTTTTTAATTGCACGCGGATGGAGTCGCGTCCGAAAGCTAACAAATTATTAACTCCCAGGTTTATAACCTTCAATCTTATCCCTTGATTAGTTTCTCCTTTCATACAGATGGTTTTAAATAAATTATTTTCTTTCAGGTCGAATCGCGTTTGAAAAACTGACAGATGTTGACTTTGTTGGCACTTCTTATTATACAGTACGCAATCTGTCATTGTACGAGTGTCAGGGCTGGTGTAGAGAGGAGAACGATTGTCAAGCAGCCGCCTTCAGGTAATCAAACTGCTTTTTATATCTTCTCAAATATTACTAGCGCAACTCATCCAGTACATGAGCATTTATTATTAAGAATCAATCGCATAATATCATATGTATAACTCGTTCTGCTTAACTTTTAATTAACATCAAGGAAAACGTTCCTTTTTCAATTCAGCTTCATAGATTGATCTAAAACAATAACGGACTTTGTTTTAAATAATCAGCAATCATTTGCAAATAGAATATCTAATCTAAAAGATGACTAGTCATCGTAAATGACTGATCATGAAAATAATAGAGATCAACGTATCGAAGTAATCTCGGATCACGATGCTCCTGACCTGAATGTCACAGATAAGAAATCAGATTGATTTGAAGAATCACTGATTTCTTTGACGTGAACTTTGTAACAAATACTTTGTATTCTCGAAAGTTTGGTGATAGTTGAAGGCAATATTGTTTGAGAATATGTGTTAGTTTGCCACACGTGCGGCTCCAACGTTCCAATGTCACGGTGTTGGTTAATAACAATACACTAAAGAACCGCTCGCCACAATCCGTGTAAAAGCGGAAACCAATCTCGATGCGCTCCAAATTGGATAACAGTAAAAGTGATCGCATACATTTTCAATAGATTATTGCCGGCAAACTACTTGTAAGCCAACTCATGGATATGAAGATTGGCGGTTTTCTTTAAACATTGAGTTTAATGTTTTAATCAACGATTTGTATTAATAAAATGAATGTAGTTCTCTTTGTTTCCGTTGGGCTAATAGCAATAAGCCATTAAGTCGTGAAAGCATAAATATATTTTTGTATCTGGTAGATTATCACAAGGAAATACGTTCTTTGTACCTATTTTTAACTTATACCCTAAAAAGTCGATAATTCTGAATATTTATTTTAAAAATTACCTGATATTGTCTAGTCTCACTAGTGTTGTATTCCTGCTATAAAACATTACGAATTGTTTATATCTCTCTACAATATAAGAAGTATAACCTCAACAGGTTCTAGTCTCAGTTATTTATGTTACAAATTAAACGAAATTGTTTTGCTTCGTTTGAAATATGGCATGAGTGTGGCATGTGAGTGCAAATACGCAGCTTGTCATGAATTAAACATTATCATGCGATAAAATTGGATTAAGACATAATCTATTTTTGTTCTGTATCCTTTTAAAGCGATTGCAATACTAATCTTGAAATAACTGTCACTTTTTATTATTGCAGATTCAAAGATATAATTTTAACAGAAATTAATATAATAGGTTTAATAATCTTACTGCAAATTGGAATGAAATTTACAACACGTTTTAGTCATTATTCAAACGTTAACAATTAATTCTGAAACTTAAAAATTCCTGGTTCTACTAAAGTTTGTAAGGTTTTGAAAGTTTTGGAAGTCTAACAGCCGTATAGTGAAAAGGGCATTAATATATGTGACAGTTAAATTATTTAAAGTTCATAAATATGTTGACTTCTGTCTGATTGTAAGCGGTGCTTATGAAGCGAATTATTTAAGAATCGTTCCAATATCGGCTGTATATCAAATTGATCGGAACTATAGCAAATAACTGGACAATTGTAAAATTCTTATCATATCAATATCGATTGAAAATCAGTCTGATATTCGGACAGTAGACAGGTATTCAATTAAACGGTAGGTAACTTTCCCGTATTTCTAATTTAGCATTGTGCTCGTATCTCAAATCAATCTAAGCAAAGAAAGAGTGACCTGACAGCGGAATTGATCTGCTGCGATTGAAATTGTTAGCTTTAACGCTGCTTTTTTGAGGTATTTAAATACAGACTATAAAATTAAAAACAATCTCTTTTGTCTATGATAACAAGCGATAGTTTATACTGTTTAATTTGCAAGATGTCGTGGAAATATAATAGTTATATGTTCTTTTTTATCAAGTTGTGACGAATTATTAGTTTACGCAACGTTCTACAGTTCTTTTCTACACATATCGTACTTTCATACTTAATATTATAAATGCGAAAGCTTAGATAGATGGATGTTTGTTTGAGTTTGTAGACTAAACGGCTGAACGGATTTTGATGAAATTTGGTACAGATGTAGAGAAAAGACTGGAAGAACACACTCACTTCTGTTTTATTTTAATTCCACGCCGACGGAGTCGCGGGCGATCACTAGTAATTTCATACTTTGTCTCGACAATTTATAAATTTAAGCTATAAATAAACATTTATTCGCTGCTTAGACATAACCCTTTGATAGTTTTACCGATGCACAAAAAAGTTGAGCAGATGTTAAATTCCCTAGATAAACTTCCAGGAATAAAATGGAGCAAACTAACTAAGACCGTATTGAACAATAGTAATTATTACATAAATAGAAGTTACCTTTCGACTATTGTGTTTTATTGTCGTTAATTGTTTCTTAAGAACAGAAAAATAGAGCTAAAAATCTTGTCCCTCTTTTAACCGATCGTAACACATTTTAATCATGAATGGATTGAAGAGAGGACTAATGTATTCATAGTTATTGTTGAACAATCAATAACGGCAAGCTATTGCATCGTTGGATCGGGACATGTAGAGCTATTAAGCGAGATAGAGGCGGTAAACGCGCGGCATTATAAGTTTTTGATCAGTGATCGATGGGTCAGTGCGGTACTTAGCGAAACTCAAAGCGCCGGCAATTGTTATTACTGTTAATGCACGATTGTTGCACGTACGTTTTTGTTTTCAAATTATATACTATTTTTAAGGTTTCAAATTTTTTAATTTCCTTGATAATTCTTAGATATTATGTTGAATTCAAACATGAGTGTTAAAAGGTGATGTTGGAATAAATAACAAAAGTTTTCGGCATTTAATCGTAAAAAGTCTGACAAAAGGTTTTTCATAAAAGAATAGAACTTAAGTTAGACTTTTGTAGACCCTACCGACCTACCTAACCTGCGATTCTATTACCTTTTGAGTCAATATATATTTTGAGACCAAAATCTCCTATCATGGACTATTTTACAAACCACTATCACTTTAATGGTATCTTTTGAAGATGTGATTAATAGTTGCCAGTTAATATAATAAAACGAGCACATTTTCTACTGCAGTACATTTATCTTCAATTTTGAGTGGCTACGTACAGTAGGCGCTTTCATTTAAATATAACTAACATAACACGGTTCAAAAGATTTATTAAGCCAGTTACGAAAGTTGTAAAATCAATGTCATTAGTAAGCGCCCTTTTAACATTAATCATACATTCTTTGTATGTACATTTATAGCAGTTTAAAATTCATGTAATTTTAACTAACTAGATGTCACTTTCGACTTTTTCGCATATCATTATTTTAATTTTGAAAATTAAAAGGTTAAATTATACAGACTTTACATTCATTCAGCAAATAAAATCAGTGATTTTCACTTACTAAGTAAAATAAAATAAATCAGGTTACTTATAGTTTCTTTGGCTTTATTTTTTTTAAGTTGGTACTTAAAACAGAAACATTACATAAGCTATATGTAATTAAAAGCTGATAGTAACGGTTGTTTTACGCGAACTATCGCCGTTCTCAATAGGCGATAGTAAATAGCATTTACAGCGGAGTTGCTGCGCCATAAACGTCTCGAAGTTATTACAAGAGGACACATGAGTAATTAACTCCATCGCCTTTAAGATAATTATTACCCAGTAATTGCAAACTCACTATTATATCGGAATTTATACCGAGAGAATTGTTAGATATTCACCTGGATTCAAATGGTTAGGGCAATTCAAAGAATACCTTTATTGAAATGTTTTTAGAGACTCATTTATTTATCGCTCACATATAGAATATAGATTTTTATTACACCTTTTCCCGTACGGCTTCAACCGCGTGAAATTATGAAAACATTACTGATTTGTCAATTTTTTAATTGCAAATGTCAAAATTACCGTTACCATAAGAACCTTGCTTCTTTAATGTTAGCAGCTTGTAGTTTATGATCCCTTTCCAACATGAAGATTTTTTCCAATTTATGTACCCTAAGTTCAATAGTGTGAAAATATATAGCCTTAAGCGTATCGTAAGCGTAGGACTTTTTATGAATGAAAGATTTATTCAAAAATGAGCTGTGATAGCTGACATCCTACGCC